ATTGATTTCAGCAAATATTGTATGTGTTTTTGATCTATCAAAATATTTCATGAATTCAATATGAAAATTATCTCCTTTTTGAATCATTGAATTTTGTTTAATAATAATTTTTTCTAATTCTTCTTTCGTTATATTGCTTTCCAATTTTATATTTGGTATTTTAATTTTAGGCTTGATTAATTTTTTTATTTCTGCATCATATTTAGAGGGTAATTTTTCAATAATTTCTTGTTTGACTTTTTCAATATCTTCCTTATCCTTGCATTTAATAATCATATTGCCATTACGCATTTCTTTCATGTAATGTATTCCTATACCAAGTTTGCTAATGTTTACATTTTTTTGTAAGTCCTCTTTTGTTTTTGAAGATGACTGATTATTTTTTGGTTTCAATATTAAGGTCTGTTCATTTTGCTTGGGTGGAGATACATAATTTGTTTTCAGAACATCAGAATAGCTTAAACAATTTACTTTTATTTCATTTTTTTCATGAATGATTTCAATTTTTTTCTTCATTTGGTCTAGGGTTTCCATTATATTATTGTCATCAATCATATTGGAAACTCTTAATTTATAATTTTCCTCCAATCTTTCATTGAGTTTTGTTAAATATTTAATTTTATCATCTTTTTCGGCAATCAGTATATCTTTTTGTTCAATTATTTCTCTAAGTAAACGAATTTTCTCTTTATTATATTCCTTGTCCTTACTATTAATACTTAGATTTTGATGATTTATCAACATAGTCAACCTGCGTGTAATTAGCAAAAGTACCTTCTTCTGATTTGAATAAATCACTTTGGGAAGCACTGACACCGCTCAAATTGAATTGTTCACCAGATTGAGATTGATCTGAAATATCATATTCAACATGAGTCTTTTCATCACACGTATTTTCATTTCGTTTCTTTCTCCTCATTCTTCCTAAATTATGGTATTATTTTGACATCTTGATAATTTTAAGAAACACCCGTATATTTGAAATCGAAAGAAAGAGCTCCACCGTTTAGGTAAATAAAATACAAGGTGTTCCCTTAAAAAAATACCAGTTCATATGGCATTTTCAGGTTTGCGATCAAGTTCTGCATTTTCAAGTACTAGATTCTGGATGCCCATAAAAAAATACTTCATTATGTACATTTCTGTAAGACTTATATCAACTGAGATAGCTATTGAGTAAATTAAAATTTCCATATACATTCCCAGCATTGAACTAAGAATCAAATACTTGATAAAACCCTCATACAGGGTGTTCCGTTGGGAAACGTAAATACTTTAACGGTGGATAGAGGTGACCAAGGTGGTTCTGAATATACCATATATGTTGGGTTTCACATATTTCATTACCGAGATATAGGGTGTTTTATCACATCTTGTCATTTCTTCGAAGGCTCATGGCATGCGTCCCTCCTGGTATATTTTCTTGATATTTGGTAGACGTGTTTTCCCACTGCTACATCAGCGACTTGTTTATACGTCAGAAAAAAGTTCTAGGCTTGGAGTAACCAAAATTTAACATATTATTCAGTCCTCGAAAAAACACAAATCCGCCTGTATATCTGGAGAGAGCACTAATGTTGAATGGATTTGTGTACTTTTTATGTTTCCGCATGCTATTTTACTACTGAATTCCTGAACCTGAAATGAAGGATTTGTGAATTTCAATAGTTAAACACGGAATATTTCCAGTTCTTCATATCGAATTATGAAAATTTTCAATTTTAAATATCATTTTACTCCATTCAATAGTCGTTGTCTGGATTTTTATGCCAGTGTACATTCACAGGTCCTCACTTTATTCATAACCTATTTATTTATTTGAGACATATTTCCATGCACCCTGTATGTGGATTCACAGATTTCAATATTTCTATTGTTTTGATGTAATAATTCCACTTACCTATTCGTGGAAACAATTGCAACAAATCCAACTCGAAATCCAACCAGAATTTCTAATTCCTAAATCAAACTGATTCAAACAAAATTCGCCGCAGAAAATTAATTATGTCATGTTGTATTTTTCCGAATACCTATACCAAGTTTATTAAGATTCATCAGTTTTCAATAGGTAAGTGAATTATAACATCAAAACAATAGAAATATTGAATTATGTAAATCCACATAGGTACAGGGGTGCATGGAAATATGTCTCAAACAAATAAATAGGTACATGAATAAAGTAAAAACCTGTGAATATACACTGGTCCGTTCCACAGGCATAAAAATGCAGACAACGACTATTGAATGGAATAAAATGATTTGTAAAATTGCAAAACTCTTTCATAATTCGATATTAAAAACTGAAAATATTCCGTTTTTAGCTATTGAAATTCACAAATCCTTCATTGCAGCTTCAGAAATTCAGTAGTAAAATAGTATGCGGAAACATAAAAACAACACAAATCCATTCAACATTTTGTGCTCTCTACAGATATGTGAGCAGATTTTGTAAATTCAAACATACAGGGTGTTTGTTAATTCGAGCCTGGATATTTTTCCTTACAAAAAAGGGCAGTCCGTATCTTGGGAAATCTGAGAGCGAGAGATTCATGCAGGGAATATTTTAAAAAACTGGGTATCTTCACGATGATTTTCCTTTACATTTATGAAGTAACCTGTTTTGTATACAGTGTGTCCATTTAGTGCGTAATTCTTCGATATCTCGAAAGCCATAACCTATAGAGAAAAACTTCGGAAAAAAACTTTCTCAGTTACTAAAGTTGCTCATTTCAAAATTATTTTCAACATTACTGGGTGTTTTATAAAAGCAGGGCAACTCGAAGAAGAGTTTTCTTGAATGGAACACCCAGTATTGTTCATTCGGAATGAATTCCGTCGAGGTTCACCTTCACATCGCTGTGAAAAAAATTGAAATCAGTTGCGGCGTTGCCAAGTTATAATTGATAAATCTATTCTTACCATTATTGAAGAGTCATGTTGAATTGGGCATGGTATATTCATTTATTCAGATTTTGAAATTTGTTTTGGCATACGGTAGGAGCAAGGTCCAACGTATACCAATCCAGTTATTTTGCGACATGTTCTTCAACAGGGTGCTCAATATTGCATTTAGAATTTTGCAAGATTCAGATGACATTCATCAGAATTTTTCAAATGGAACACCCTGTATTTTTATTCAAAAATTCATTTCGACATCTTTCGCCATTTTATCGCTGGAAAACAAATCGGAATCGGTTGCGGCGTTGTCAAGTTATGGTTAATTTCCTTATTATCACTACTATTTCGGGGTAATTTGTACGTCATAGTTCTTTCATTTATTTGTATTGTGGAGATATATTGCGTTGCTACGGTATAATCAAATTTGTTCATTGACCATTCATATATTTTTTTACAAAAGGAACATTTACAGGCTCTCTAAGTTTGAATTTTGTTCGAAATATTTGTGTAATGACCTGTCAAACATCGCTACAATCAAATATATCTTGGATTGATTCGACATTTTGCTGAATTTCCTCCCAAGAGCCGCGTGGTAGAGAAATATTATTTGTATCATTATGTTTACCTTCTTCAAGGAGAATGGAGATTTGGATTGTGGGAATAACGACAATAAAAATGGCCCAAATTTCAGAAAATTTTCCTAATTTCCGCAATCCGCATCTTCATTGTTTGTATTGTAGAAGTTATTTCAAAGACAGGCGTTGCTTTTGGCATGTTTGTTTGTTTCACATATTATTTGAATCATAAGTAGCAAGATTACGGAATATTTCGAATTTGGACGATGCACATATCACAGAAATACCTGAATGATCTATGTAAAACCTCGAATGTCATGTGGCATGCAATATTCCGACACAGGACGAACAAATTACCCCGAAATAGTAGTAAAAATAAGGAAATAAAATTACTCATAACTTGAAAACGCCGCAACCGATTCTGATTTTTTCTTCTGCGATGAAAAGGCGAATGATGTCGAAATGAATCCGTGATGAAAAATCGAAATTTCAATAAATAAATATACCATACCCAATTGAACATGACCCTTCAATAGTAGTAAAAATGGGTTTATCAATCATAACTTGGCAACGCCGCAACCAAATTCAATTTTTTTTACAGCGATGTAGAGCTGAACTCGAGCGGAATAAATTTCGAATGAACAATACTGGGTGTTCCATTTGAAAAAAACTCGTCTTCGAGTTGCCCTGCTTTTATGGAACACCCAGTATCGTTGGAAATATTTTCGAAATGAGCAACTTTAGTAACTGAAAAAGTTTTTTCTCCAAAGTTTTTCTCTTGTGATAATTGATTTCGAGATATCGAAGAATTACGCACTGAATGGACACACTGTATAATCATAAACGTTATTTTGAGACTGAAAAAGTCGAACATAATTACAATACAAGCAACAAAGATTATCTGTTGCCTCCTCAACACTCATCTGCTCGGTATCAGAAAAGTTTAAATTACAATGGATGTAAATTATACAATTGCCTGCCAAAATCTATACAAGAATCAATAAATGAATTCCAATTCAAGAATAAAATGAAAAACTCACTCCTGAAAAAATCTTATTACACCTTGGATGAATTCTTCTGTGATCCAATCATCGCTGACTGATGAATAATGTTTTCGAGTAGACGTTCATATACTTTTTATGTTTATGTACCTGTGAAATCTTGTATATTATTGTGTTTGTTTTATACCTACGATATTTATTTATTTATGTACCTACTTTAGCCAAATTTTGACGTTTTTTTCTTAAACTGTATGTTTTTGAAACAAATAAATCTATCTATCTATCTTATATACAAGTCGCTGGGATAGCAGTGGGAAAGCACGTCTACTAAATATCGGAAAAATATACCAGGTGGTTCGTATGCTATGAGCCTTCAAAGAAATTACCAGAATTAATAAAACATCCTATATCTTGATAATGTAACATGTAGGACCCAACATATATGGTATATCCAGAACCACCTTGGTCACCTCTATCCACCGTTTAAGTATTTCCGTTTTCCAACGGAACACCCTGTGTAACTCACTTTTTCTTTGGCATCATTGATCAAGCTTGTATTACTCCTGAACTTTCCCATGAGATTCTTCAATTCTCCCTCGGTGTTTTGAACTCTATCATACATAAGTCCAGCTTCCTCGCCAAGTGCTGTTGTGTTTTTGAATAATATTTCAGCTTCACTCTTGGTACGTTCTGCTTTCAAAGAGGCATTCTTAGCCAACTCGTTAGCTTGTTTGGCCTTATCAAACGCCAAATCAGAATTTTTCTTTGCTTCGTCTAAGATAATTTTGGCTACCGAAGATTTTTTGGAAATATTTTCAATAATAGTTTCTATGTCGTCGAGAGTAGTTAGTGCATGTGCTGCTTCTTTCTTATTTTTTTCCGTTTGCGTGTCGAATTCTGAAAAATAGGTCATCAATATTCCAAACTGATATCACACTTGGATCATAGTCAAATTTCGATTCTTGTAACCACTTGATAAGGTATTTTACAAGGTGATTCTAATTCGAGTACCTACATTTTATTGTCTCAACGTGGGCGAAGAAAGATATATGAGACGATTTAATATATTGACCAGAAGATATTGAATATTCACAACGAATATTCCTTATATATTCAGAATGTACCTACAATATTCTATAAACATTCAGAAAATATTTGGAATATTTCTTGATCTAAAAGTGAACAATTCATGTGGTTTTCCACGAATACCATAATTACCCACTGCATCGAGGAGAATATCACGTGAGACATAGACATGAAAAAGAGATCTTGCTTCAAATATTAATGTAATCCCTATATTCTTCATAGTGTCACGAGGTAATATAAACCTTGAGCCTCCTTGTAATTATTTCAATCTCCCCCTGTATGTGTATGTTCAAGTGATTGCAAACTATTTTTGAAAATATGAATACAGCGTGTCTCACTTTAAACCCCCCCCCTCTACATCTCAGTTATTAGTCATGCAATTCCAACCAAATTTGGTGTGGTATGAATAACCATCAATATGATCAGTTTTACAGAGATTCACATTATTTTGGACAGTGGCCGTGTTTTTTTATTGAAATAAAAAGGAGTCGATTTTTCATAAAATCATATTAGGCATTTTTTACAGGAAATCTAACCTCATATTATTGTTCCTCATGCTTTCGAACCTCCATATGCAAAAAATAACCGCATTCCGAATTAACAAGATTGACTTCATTTTTTTCATTTTCAGTCTCGAATAAATAGTGATCAACTACGAATATCGGAACGTTCAATGGCTCCGGTAGGTGAAAAATCATGATTTGAAAGGAAAAACGAGGTGAACTTTTTTATGTTGAACTCACCGTTTCCGAGTGAATAATTATTATTACGTTCGCAAAAAATGCTGTTTAGATGTGCCTGTTTTTCTGAAACCCTTCATAGGCATCTTATGAAAATCCACATGTGTAGGTTTGAAACCATGAAGAACAATATTATGAGGTCAGTTTTCCAGTGAAAAAATGCCTGATATGATTTAATAAAAAACTGACCCCTATTCATTTCAATAAAAATGCACAGCACTGTCTTAAAAGATCGCACGACTGATAGCTGAGATATAGAGGGGGGGCCGTTTGAATTGAGACACACTGTATATTTGAGATCATTTTCATACTAACCTTTCAGAAGTTTGTAATTCGTAACTGCTCCATTGAAAATCTCGTCCCAAAGATTGATGGCTCCATTCGCTTGACTCTCACAGAATACTAGGTCATTTCGCAGGTCATTGACAATTTCTTGTTGACTCTCAGCATTTTTCAATAATCCCTTGCCTAATTCAGTTTGCTTATCAATTTCATTTCTAATATCATTACTATCTTGGAAGAGGTTATTAGTTCTATTACTGAGTATAAACATTTCTTGTCTCAAGAGTATCGATCTTTCTATGAGTTCAGGCATGTTGATTTCAGGTATATGTAAGTTCTCAATCTCGCTCAATAAAGCTAATGCGTTTTTCTTCACTAACACAGTTTTTTCACCAACTTCTTTTATCCAATCGTTGGACTTACTCAGTTTCATTTCAGTACTCATAACATCATTTTTGAGTTTTCTTATATAGTCACCAATTATACTTTGTTGATAAACTGTATTTTTTGCTACTTCATAAGCCACCATTGATTCATTTTTCGTTTTCTTTGATGAAATCATAATGTCATCAGCTTTGTAGTCCAACGAATCAGCTATATCACGAGCTTCTTGAGCTATTAAAGTCATTTGCTCAGAATGCTGCCCAACTAGTGCAGCTTGCTTCAAAGCTCTCTGTAAAGTTTCCAAACCTCTATGAGTGATATCATTCTCAATATCAAGTATCTTTTCATCCACCTCATCCATTATATTATCACCACGTTCAATATTGATTCCAACCAATATGTTATTTTCATCGATAAGGAATAGATTCTCATCAACCCTTGATATCATTTTTGATACTTCTTTCCTTTTATCTTCAATATCCCTAACTTGTTGAATAATACCAGTGTCAGCTGTGTTAAAAAGAACCTCAGAATAAAATTCATTGACCTCTTCTTGAACCTTTTTCAATTCATTTGGAAATTCTTCTTCAGGTATAACTGTCGGTTGACTCTCGATGTCATCAAGAATCACACCTAATTTGATCAATTTCTCGTTGTGATTTTTGGCCTCATTTTGAACTAGACTATAACAGTCGGGACAGTCGATGCAGCCTTTCTGCCTGTCGAATTTATTTTCTTTGCAGCGACTGCATTGCTTTCCTTCCACATTGTCTAAGCAAGGACATTGCCCGGAAGCATCGCACTGAAGATCTTTGGAACCTGTTGGGTCGCATTCGCAGTCTGCGCATCCATTTATAGAGAAGCCAAATTTGTGAGATTCGCAGTGGTCACATCTTACTCTGAAACAAATGAGTGTAGGTAGGTAAATAACATATTTCATTCAAAATTCCTAGAAATACCGGCAAGTCACAAAACAGCAATTGATCATGTTACCAGTTAAAGATTTCATAATCATAGTTTGACGCGCCAAAGGAGTCCGGGTACGAAAGGGAAGAGATGGAATCCATCAGTATTCTGAGCCCAGAGTATCTTTACAATTCGGTTTTGCAGATTTCGCCGCATTCGTCACAAACGATATGGCTGAATGCACTTTTGCATTATTGCAAAATTCATATTGTGATCTGGGCTCACATTCTTTTGGCCGGTCATCTTTTAGGAGCCAGAGACCGTTACCCCCGATACTAAGAAGGCCTGCAGGCTCCGTGGTGACGTCATCTTAGTGAGGCCTAACAGCGGCTCGAAACGACAAGCGCTTATGGCGCTATGAGACGAACGCGTATCTCAATTTTAGTTTTAGATCATTATTGAGCCGATTTTGCTGTTATTTTGAAGGGCTTCCGGTTAAAAAAAGATGCCAGTCGTCAACTGAGCCCTTCTACGCATCCCATTCGAGTTTATTATGGAAAAACGAAGTTTCAAAGCAAAAATCAAACTAGAAGGCAAATACCCACCTACAGCAACCCATTCGAAATAAATATATTGGCAAAAATTATAGTGATGTAATCTCATTAAAAGTACACTTCACATCTACTTATACACAGGGCCCGCAGAACAAAAACTTATCGTGAGATTGATCGAGAGAAAATTGGGGAAAATGTATTTTATTTTGATAGACATGCCGTTTGTTATAATTACCTATATTTATCTTGGAGAATTCCTATTAGGTATCTAAAAAAATAGCCAGTGAGTGTTTTCAATTTCCTGTTGGATTTTTTACCCAATTGATCGTTAGACTTGAAGCAGTAATTTTTAAGTAGAGTGTTTGTAGTACATGTTAATTTGATAGTTGCAATTTGATCATTGGAATGAATTCTGCATTCATTGCCACGAGGCAAATGACCGTTTTCAGAAATAAATTTGAGAATGTATTGAGTGAAAAATGCCCGGTTATTATGAACATTCAAGAATATTTCCCCGACTTCAGAGATGATTTTTTTGAATATACCATACGAATACAAAACTAACCGCACAATCAAAGCTTGCGGATTAAGTAATTTTCCTCTACTCATACCTTTTAATTGGGGAGTTATTGTCTTCCATTATTGATTCATCATTATATAAATTAAGTTCTGTTTACAAAATTCGTACTGAATTTTTCTAAGTGTAATATAGCAACAATAACCTGCTATAGTTATTTTCCTAACAAGTGCGCAAAGTGTTACTTTTCCGCATGCAAATACAGTTAGGCGAACGACGATGAGCGGAGTTCGAATAAGTTTTTGCGTGCAGAAAAGATACTTTGCGCACGCGTTAGGAACAACGTTTTTCCTACGAGCTTCATATCAGATAAAAAGGAAAAAAATGTCAACTTGAATTACAATTTATTGAATGATCTTTGGTTAAACTTGATAGAAATAGCTAAACTTAAAACAATTACATATCAATAAAATATAATGATAGAAAATTAAATCATTTGTTCCTAATATTTATATTGAGGTGAAATACAAATATCGGGAAGAAAAAACAAACAAACTGACGACATTCGTGAGTCGACACGCGAAGAATGGATTGCCTCAGTTAGCTGACGTCACGAGCAGTTCTCTAAGAGCCTTCAGGCCTTGTTAGTATCGGGGGTAACGGCCAGACTATTATGTGCATTATGGATATAAAGACTCACAGGGAGCTATTTCACCAAATGAATTATGAATAGGTTTCTCTCTAGTGAACACAAGATACTTCTTCTACTCCTGTATTATAATGCGCTTATCAAATATCTGCTTCCGATTCATTATTATTGTTGATTTTGACATTGATTTTCATGATGATTTCTGCCAATGAAAACACGTACTTTTCATTTTGAAAAGAATCTTTGGTGTACTGAAACACGTCCTAAGTACGTTTAATCAAGTGGCCAATGTTTCTACATAGGTACTTGTTTGAGTTGTTTGACATTCAATTTCAATTGATGGTCAATCACAACGAGTCAGATGCACAGGCAATTCTTGGACTGGAGATATTGGAATATGTTGAAATATACATCGTTCGAAATTAATTCAGGTTTTTATTTCATTACTTATTGGTCATAGAGAAAATAGTGTGTGTGCTACTATCATGAAATGACTATTGATAAAATGAATATCAAGTCAGATCAAGTTAGATCTTTGACTGCCAGTGATCTTGTGCTTTGCTATTTAGCCTGACAGTTCTGAAGAATTACAGTATGTTTATTTGCGCTTTCGTGAAATCACTAGTATAGGAAAATACACTTGAGCAACTTTACTATTTTCTAATATGCTTATGCACTATATGCAAAATAATGTTCGAGGAAATTCTAAATTTTATGTGCAATTATAAAATGAAAAACTACAATTCTCTCTCATCGATTGCTGGTTTGTCGGTTCAGGTGATTTGAATCAGCAGACAGACGATTCACATAAATCACCATTTTCAATAGTCACTTGTCAGTGGGCCATTGGATCACTTGAGGGTATCAGCAGATGTGACGATATAGTCTGCAGATTTGGGGATGGTGAGACTTCATTTTCATCGTATCCACTTCTGAATTCATAACATTCAATGTAGGTATCCCTTTCGTAACTATACAGTCTGTCCAAGATAAGGTTGATCAGCATGGGGATCTCGAAAACTGTAGGAGATACGAAGTCGGTTAAATGGGAAAAAAGTTGCGCATTCGGAGTCTCATATCAAGAGCCCTCGAAAATTTTAGAAATTATCTTTAGTTTTTTTAGTTATATCGAAAAAAGGGAATTTTTGGAATATCTATTTCATTTTTTTTTCTCCGTTATTATTAAAGAGACAGAAAAACTGAAGATACTTTTGCATAGCAACTTTTGATTTTTTTTACAGATTCTGAAAGGTTTTTTATTTTGAATCCAACCATGTATTATACAAGGTGGTTTATGTGTGTTTCGATCTATTTTTGTCCATCATCAATGTTTTTTTCGAAACTCCAAAGGAAAAATGCCATCAGTTCCACTTATTTTGAAGAAAAATTAGTCAACACACTAATACCTCATCAACTGGTTTCAATCAACAACCCATTTCATTTTGCGGAAACAAAAATTTCATCCATACCAATTCAAAATATGTCAAGCGCTAAAACCAGGCGATGACGAAAAGCGCAGGACATTCTGTGAGTGGTATACCAGGAAAATTTTGCAATTTCCCGCGAACAATCATCTGGACTGCTGAAATCATGGTCACTAATCATCATCTTCGATAGAAAAAATACACATTATTGTTCACGAGAAAATGAACATTTATACATTACAGCGATACACCAACACCGTTTCAGCTTTAATATGTGGGTTGCAATATTTGGTACACGAAGTATTGGTCCTTTTATTCACCATGAAACACAGACTTCCTAACGTTATAGAAATTTGTTTGAGAATCATCTTGAGGAAGCTCTGGATGATTTACCGATTGCGGAAGTTCAGAACTGTTGGTTTCAACAAGATGGCGCTCCGGTACATAATTCCAGAGAAGTTCGTGCGCTTTCATCCAGAAAAATGGATTGGTACTCATTCTGCAGTCCCTTGGCCGGCGCGGTCACCTGATTTGACACAGCTGGATTTTTTTTCAGGGGATATATCAAAAACTTTGCACACGCAAATTGCTCTGATGATGAAGAAGAACTGAGGGACAGTGTCATCGAAGCTTCCAATAGAATAACCCCAGAAATGCTTAGTAATGTCTTAGAAGCAACCGTGAGAGAAGGATATCTTCATTCAGAAAATAATGGTTATCATTTTGTATGAATGTTTCTGAAGGTATTGTCATAGTTAAGTTGTTAAAGTAATCCGTGTATAAATTCATCAACAATTTGAAGCGCTGCATTGAATGATGTAGGGAAATATATTTTATTCATTTTGCAGTATTGAATAACTAATCCATCAATGTTTGACACTAAATGATCAGAAATACATAGAAGTGGTGGCACTTTTCCTTTGGAAGTTCGAAAAAACATTGATGATGGATAGAATAAATAGGTCGAAACACATTCGAATCACCTTGTATGATAGATGGTTGAATTCAGGATGGAAAAAACTTTCAAAATCTGTGATAAAATTATCTGGACCGTATTCAAAAAACAAAAGTTGATGATGGTTCTACGGATACGAAACGTCGCATAAAGAAAACGGTATAACCACGTTAAACGTCTTCAAAAGTTGCTATAAGAAAGTATTTTAAGTTTTTCGGTATCTCTAATAATAACGGAGAAAATAAAATAAAATAGATATTCCAAAAATTCACTTTTTTCGATATAACTAAAAAGCTAAAAATAATTTCAAAAATTTTCGAAGGCTCTTGGAATGAGCCTCCGAATGCGCAACTTTTTCCCCATTCAACCGACTTCGTATCTCCTACCGTTTTCGAGATTCCCATGCTGTTCAACCTTATCTTGGACAGACTGTATAGGTTGCTCTGATGGTTAGATCAACTGTTCCGCGGCTATGGAATATAATTTTTCGGCAACCGTCCGGAAAGTGCTCACTTCCCGAGCGCTTTTTCTTTGAGAAAGTAGTAGTAACAGTTAGTAGGTATAGATATTCTGTTCAAATTCCAGTATTTGATACAAATGAGGATTGATAAAGAAGAAATTGTTTGTGAATAGTGTACGCAACACGTCCCAAAACAGTTTCTTGCAGATTTTCCGGGACTCGCCAACGGCTCGGCCTAGAATTTTGTTCTACTCGTCCAAAAATAGCAGATTGTTTTATTAGGATCAAAAGTGACACTTTGTTTGACAAGCGAATTTTGCATTTGCGAGGCGGAGCGTTTAGCGAAGCCGAGCGAAAGCAAAATTTGCGAGTCGAACAAAGTCACTTTTGATTCGAATGAAACATGGTATTTTTTCTGCAACCGAAACAATTAACTCAAATAAACATTCGAAGTAACCACCAATGCCGTGCCATATGTATGAAATGCAACAAATATTGACAAATAATCCATGTGATGAGAATATTCTACCTGCATTAACAGCAGGTTAGGTTTTCTAGGATGTTCGAATTGTAGTTTCAATATAAATACAACCACAGGGTGACATATTTGTGTATGGACCAGGTGCTCTAATGGCAAATACCGCGCCAGTGCCAGGTATAGGAACAAGACGTGGAAAATGTTAGGTTAGTGAACATATCAACAATGATGATAGTGATTATTTATTCCTCTCCATACTACACTGTGTTTTACGTGATAATCGAATGTAGCGTAACTAAAAAACTATTGCTTGCCGTGATTATTCAAAAACAAGTTATCCATCATCCCGAGAATAAAGAATGAAATACAGATCAAGCAAGTATTTGAATCTTGAAGGCTTCCCTGATCGAAACGAAAATACTTAACTGACATGTTTATAATTCCAATACTAAACTATAATAAGGTGTATTTATATCTCCAGCATGGGTATGAAATGCCAAATCTGCTGAAATCGGAAACAAATCAGGTATTCGTCTCAACCCAAATAACCAACCATCACAATGTTGTTTATTCTTGATGACGTCCAGCAGATCCTTTTTAGTTCCTAGGAGCTAAAGTTCAACTTTAGCTCCTAGGAACTAAAATTCAACTTTAGCTCCTAGGAACTAAATATGTTGCTTAGCAACATACCTATTTTTGTGTCAGTAATAGAAACGTCAATTCAAGAGCTAATTTTGGTATCAAAATTGGACGACTTTTGTGTCGGTTGCAGAAAAACAGTATTTTCCGGACTTGTAACGTAAATTACTATATTCAGATATGAAATCGAAACCTATACATACCCAGCGATTCCTGGTCTGCAGTAACATTGTCCAGTGAGCACGTCGCAAGTTTTGTTGATGGATCCGATAATGTCACAGTTGCACATCTGGCATCCCTTGCCAGAGAGCAGGTCGAAATATCCGTCCTCGCACTTGTCGCAGTTCCTGCCGACCACGTGATGTCTACATCGACAGGAGCCGGTAGCCTGGTCGCAGGTTAGTTCCCCTGTGGCGTCCTCTTGTGTGCCTGGAGCGTAGCAGGCGCATTTCCGGCAGTCTCCTCTTGGAAGTACCAAGGCGTCGCCATAATAACCTTATACCGAAACAAAAATCTCAGTAATAACTCAAAATATTCGTTAACGTCCAATTTGTTCATAATTAATTAGCCATATTCATAATTGAAAAGGCTTGTACATCAAAATCGTACCTGTTTCTATGCTTTTTATGTATAACCAAAAATGATTTATTACTGTCATATTTGGTCATTATGAACAACATTATTCGATATTTAACAATTCATCTATTACGCCGATTCACGAAGTAATAATCAATAAGATAAATTTATAATTATAATGTGATTTGATGATAATTAACAATGATACAGTGTCTGTTTATGAATCTATGTGTTTATTTATCATGATACATTCGTTTATTATGGATATACGTAATATAAAGGGAAATAATGGATATTTCATTTTATTCTTCGTTTGGTAATTATAATAATTCATTTGGTAATAATTAAAAAACTGTCATGCGCATGGGCAATAGGCGTATCCAGGAGGGGGGCTGCCCCCGATCACAGCAAGTCTTAGGAGGATAATTTATAATTTTTACATACTATAACCACTTCTGACGTACGACAATATTCATCACTTCTATAATCATCACTTCTCTATAACCTACGTAATAAACAAATTAACAGAACATTATTCGAAAATATTAATTTTATATATATATAGGTGCGTATTGGCAACAGCACCAGAATCGTTGCGACAGTCGGGACACATCGTGACTCGTGAGATGTCGCGTGAAGAAACTTGCGAAAGCGCAGGAAGGGCTGATGCTGCTAAACATACCTACATTACGATTTTAGTAGGCGTAGGTATTTGCCGTTTTTTTCGCTGAACAAAGTATTGAAAAGGAAAAAGCCTCTTCCAAGTGTAATAAGAGTGTATCAGTTTCACTGTGTTTATTACTATACTATTATACTAGTTTGTTTTTGAGGAGAATTGAGGTTTCAATTAATAGGTAAGTTTATTTTATTGCCTATTGACGGCAGTGCTGTATCCATATATTTTTCCAGAAGATGGAAAAAAGAAAGCAGTCTTCCCCATTGCTTTTCTTTGAGAGTAAAAGGAATAAAAAATCCGATGAGAAAAAAGGCCGACAAAAGAGAATACTCGTGTAACGTTTCGATATGTTTAGGATGAATTACGGACATAAATTGGGCGTGGCTCCGAAAAATTTTTTAACCTGCGGCGCTTTTCTTTGGTCACCACTTTTTCTCAACACAGCCCCCCCCCCCAAACCAAAATCCTGTATACGCCAATGGCATGGGCCATCATTTCAGTTTAGCTTCCATCTTAAATCATAGCCTGAGCATCTTCATGGAATCGTTGGTGACTTCCTTATTGTGATTTCGACCAACGCGAAAGTTAGGAAGTGTGATGGTATATTAGTTCAATCCCTTATATGACAGTTTGTTTTCATTTGGACATGTATATTCACGTCTACAATTAGCTTCTTGGGATAATTTCATCACATATGATAAAATGGCAGACGACTATCAGTGCATCTATTTCACAACATTTAGTATGTTTTCAAATAAACAGTGGTGCATGTGGTGCTAATCAATCAATATTAGAACACTCTCAACGTAAGTAGGTGCAAATACCTATATGTAGTATACATGAGTATGTCCTGATTTTATTTGCTTTGCATGAATTTGAAAGAAAGTAATATATGTACATGGTTACGTGGGTATATATGCCATCATAGCTGGAAGCTGATGAGTTATAAGGTAATGAGTATATATACACGCAACCAGCCCTGATCGAATAGTTTGGATTTATACTTATGTAAATAATATTCGATAACTGTTACTAAGTTATTGATATAAGACTTAGAAACACCCCTTCGGGGTGATCCACGACTGGTGGTATTACATCAGGAAATCTAATGAAACAATAAGCAATTTTTCTGAGATGAAGACATTGAATTGTATCATAGAAATCATCCATTTTTCTCAAAGTGGTCCAATTGATTTTAAAGAGAAAGCAATGAAAATCCCAAAGTCTGTCGACCACAAAATAATGTAATAAGCGACGTGTGTCGTGTATCACACACGTCGCTTATTAAATTATTTTGTGGTCGACAGACTTTGGGATTTTCATTGCTTTTTCTTTAACATTGAATTGTATTAGCGAACAAAAGATTTATTTATTTATTTCCATGCTGTTCTCATGAATAAATATTTGGTTAATAAAAACAGAAATTCTGAGATAATAAATATCGTTTGGTGTGGGTGAAGAAATATGTATTCTCAGTTAATAAATGAATATTATTATGAAATGATCATAATTCAACCATGCATGGGGGTGTGAACAAATAATTTGTTTTTCTCAAACAAACGTTTATTTCGTATATTTCAATAACGGATTTGGTATAACAGTTAATCATATATTTTTATTATAACCAAACTGTTCTTTCAGTGTAGAGCAATATGAAAGGGATATATTTCATACAGAATGATTCACGAGCCACTCTACATACTTATATTGTAGATAGGACAGATACATCTGCCAATAAGAAATGAATATATAAATTGGTTATAATACGATGTAATTACCAGAATACAGGGTCTTGACTCGTGTTACGTTGTCAGTAATTTTTCCGAGAATATTTCTAATCGTTTAATCAATTTTCCTGAAACTTCATACAATATAGTCTTCAATTCGAAGTTAATTTTTGTAAATACCAAACAAACGTTTATTTCGTATATTTCATTAACGGATTTGGTATAACAGTTATAATCATATATTTTTATTATAACCAAACTGTTCTTTCAGTGTAGAGCAATATGAAAGGGATATATTTCATACAGAATGATTCACGAGCCACTGTACATACTTATTTTGTAGATAGGACAGATACATCTGCCAATAAGAAATGAATATATAAATTGGTTATAATACGATGTAATTACCAGAATACAGGGTCGTGACTCGTGTTACGTTGTCAGTAATTTTTCCGAGAATATTTCTAATCGTTTAATCAATTTTCCTGAAACTTCATACAATATAGTCTTCAATTCGAAGTTAATTTTTCTAAATACCAAACGTAGCCAAATTCCAGGCCCCGGCCAGAGAATTTTAATCTAAGATCTATCAGAAAAAGGGCATTATTTACATGGGAATTTTCGATCTCTGTTTATTGATTATTACTGAAACTACATGTATTAATGGAAAAAAGCGAATAACTCCTTTGGAAAAATACATCAAAAATAATATATTGCTTTGGGATACACATACCAGTCATTTTATTCTACTCGAAACTGAAAAAAAAAGGGATCAAATATCACAATTCATTCCCAAAATGTAGTTCGCCAGAGCCTTCCTGCATTTCATGATCGCTTGAAACAATTTCCAAACGGAATTAGAATCGTTTGAGGATTTTGTCTAATTTGAAATACGCGGTTCGACAACTCTTCTCTATTCCCACCGTATAGACCTTCTGTTTCAAATGTTTCCATAAAAAATAATCGAGAGGGTTGGAATAATGAGTTCTCCTTAAGTTAAATTATCCGGAAGTGAAATACCTCTCCATTCTGATTTCCTGGCGAGAGGTGCTAGAGAAGGTTCACCATTGGCTGAAAAAGTCCTCCAAGATCGTGGTCCAAGCAATAGAACATCAACGATGTCTATCGACACCTCCAGACTGAGAAGCCAGACATATTGGCTCTGACACAGCAGGTCAATTCATCCACCAATACGAGCTATATGCTCTGTCGTGGGTACGAACTACTATTCAAAAACGAATCTCTCAGGTCATTTAGAAAGAACTTTGGAACCAAATGAATTTGATGTTGTGTGGTTCAAAGTCGATAATCAAAAACAGACCCTACCTACCAACTACAGACCGATCGCACTGCTATCTATTATTTCAAAGATCATGGAAAAAGCTATCCACATCGGGCTCATGAAATACCTGGAACATTCTGGTATTATCAACTATAGGCAATATGATTTTCGTCATCAGCGATCAACTGGTGACCTGCTCGCTTACGTCTCACATATATGGCAGCAATCTATTGAAAAAAATGGTGAAACCTCAGCCGTGGCACTTGATATCTTCAAGGCATTCGATCGAGTCTGGCACCATGGACTCCTCGCCAAGCTACTTTCATCTTATGGCATATGCCTTCCCATGCAGCTATGTTCTCTGCTAGCTAGTTTTCTCTCAAACAGGACTCTCCAGGTAGTGGTCGACGGAGTTTCATCTGACTCTCTTATCATAAATGCTGGCGTTCCGCAAGGATCAATTATAGCACCAACACTATTTCTACTCCATATCGAGCATTACATATTTGGATATCTCATATAGATTCATAGATGTCACCAGTGGTATTATTTCGATCCACCCTTTCAGGGGTTGATTTTATAAAAAAATACGAACAAGAAATGCTCGGTCAGCAAGGATTTTCGAAAAACAGCAAGAATAAACTACCCCTCTGAAGGGGTGGATCAAAATGATTTCACTGATGGCATCTATAAATCTATACGAGATATCCAAATAAGTAATTCGATGGAAAGATACGAACAAGAAATGCTCGGTCAGCAAGAATTTTTGAAATACTGCGAGAATAAACTACTCCTCTATAGGGGTGGATCAAGATAGTTCCACTAGGGGCATCTATATATCAATATGAGATATTCAAATATGCAATTTGAAGAAAACATTCGAATCAGGAATGTTCGGTCAGCAAGGATTTTTGAAAAAATGCACTACTAAATTACCCCTATGAAGGGGTGGATCGAAATGAACTCCACTGGTGGACTCTATATATTTATATCAGATATTCAAATATGTGATTTGATGGAAAAATACGAACCAGGAATGCACGGTCAACAAGGATTTTCGAAAAATAGCAACAATAAACAATAAAATCCAAATAATTCCACTGTTGGCATCTATGAATCTATATGAGATATCCATATAAAATGTGATTTTATGGAACAATACGAATCAAAAATGCCCGGTCAGCAAGGATTTTTGAAAAACTGCTAGAATAAACTGAATAAACTACCACTCTGATGGGGTGAATCGAAATAATTCCACTGGTGGCAATTATATATATCTATATAAGATATTCAAATATGTGATTTGATGGGGAAATACGAACCAAAAATCTCGGTTAGCACGGATTTTCAAAAAACAACGGGAATAAAACTACCCCTCTGAAGGGGTGGAGCCAAATAATTCTACTGGTGGCATCTATAAATCTATAGGAGATATCCAAATATGTGATTTAATGGAAAAATACGAACCAAAACTGCTCGGTCAGCAAGGATTTTTGAAAAACTGCTAGAATAAACCACCCCTTTGAAGGGGTGAATCGAAATAATTCCACTGGTGGCTACTATATATCTATATGAGATATTCAAATATGTGATTTGATGGAGGAATACGATCAAAGAAATGCTCGGTCAGCAAGGATTTTCGAAAAACAGCAGGAATAAGCTACCCCTCTGAAAGGGTGGATCCAAATAATTCTACTGGTGTCATCTATAAATCTATAGGAGATATTCAAATATGTGAATGATAGAAAAATACGAACCAGAAATGCTCGGTCAGCGAGGATTTTTGAAAAACTGCTAGAATAAACTACCCCTCTGATCGGGTGGATCGGAATTATTTTACTAGTGGCATCTATATATCCATATAGAATATTCAAATATGCAATTTGAAGAAAAAATCCGAACCAGAAAGGCTTGGTTAGCATACCTCAATAATTTTGGTCAGCAGATTATATTTTCTCAACTCACTGTACCATTCGCTTGCGTGATCCATTTTCCTATGAAGAAAGGATTGAACTTCGCAGACATGTGTTGTCAATGACGTCATGTACGGACAAGAATAATGATTCAGAGAGCCAGAGCGTTACTATGGAAATAATGTATATAGACGCTTGCTATTAATGGAGGAGCTCGCGTGCAAAACCGGTTATATCCACTTTTCACCGAAACTGACGTGATACACTGGTTCATGAGCTCTATATCGTTTGTTGCATTGATTAATCGTTGCCTGAATGTTCATGTGGCTTTCGCACAAAATCATCAGTTATATCGAAATTTTGCAAGCAGACCCGGTTATATCCTATAACTACCTATTTGTCAGGTTCGATTCTTATTGTTTACGTTGTGGCATTCAGTATCTCGTCGTCGTTGAGGTTTCACAACATAGAAAACACTAGATTATCGTGTGCCGAAGATAGTTTCGATTTTGTATTCACGGCGAATACCTACCTGATGATGGATGGAGAGGATATCACTGCCAATGAGAGGAATGATGGAAACAGGAAAATAAAAACTGAGGAAACCAAACGCAAATCGAATAGGAGATCAAGGTGAGGTTAAGTCGGCTCTTGATATGGAAGGTAAAGCATTGCATTTTAATTCACATTTATTCAAGGTATGCATCCGATCCAGAACCCGAACTTGAAAACTTCAGACTGCCTTGTGGTCACAATGGCCCTACATATGAATGTGCTGAAGTGGGAATAGAAGATATTTCGAGAATCAGAAAAGAATTTGATGAAGAAGTCGACAAAATCCGACAGGATATCAAACTATGCCACTTTATTTCCGTTATGTCTGTCAAACGACATAGAGCTTCCCGAGAAATCAAACAGAGGAATGCAACAGTTGCTTATTTCCTTGAATCTCGCAAAACTGCAATCAGAGTTTGCAAAAAGTTTTTTATTACTGTTTTTGGAGTGACTAATCAAAGAATCGCTACAGTTTCTAAAGCAGTAGAGGAAGGTGCAGTTCCGAAGGAGAAGAGAGGGGGAGACAAAGTTTCGTATAAAAGTGCTCCAAAAAAAGAAACAGTCCGCACATTTATAAGACAACTGTGTGGTGAAGGAAGTGACTATAATCAGTGCGAATCAAAGAGAATTTATTTGTCAGCAAACCTTTCTGTTGCAAAACTACATAAATTATACAACCGAAAGTGTGGAGCTGAATATCGAGTGAGTTATGATATGTTCAGAAACATCTTTATCAATGATTTTAACATTGGATTCTCATCACCAACATTTTATATTTGTTCTAAGTGTAAAAAGTTGAAGAAGCAGATCAAACATGAGGAGAATCATTAAATAAAACAAATAAACCAAACACTTTCTTTGAATTAGCCAGAGAAAATCCTGACATTATCAAATGATTTCGCTTCCATCTTCAGATGCAGATATTGCCTCGTAAGGAGCACTACATTGAACTATTTTGGGTGATTGTTGTGGGGGTCGAAATAAAATCTCCCTCATAATTTACTCAGTTGATCTACTGTCTGAAGAATGAGTCCCCAGAACATATTTCGGAAATAATACCCATGCAGCCACCAAATTCGGTCGGCCTTATGCGGACACATAATATGCTGTCGATAATTGGTCAGAACGGCATAATTTCAATGCAGTGATGGGCCAGTACCAAAAGGAGACTCTGGCCGTCATCAGGACCAGAAAGTATCTGCCGATGAATTCAATTGAAAAAAAAGGCGACCGTCACAGGATTCGAACCCCGGTCGTCCAATATATCACTTGGTTACAAATTGAACTTATATTCCAACTGAGCTACTACGACTTCATTGAAATGATATGTGTGTACTGGATTTATAAATGCGATAAACTTTCGAATAGGAAGATTTCATCAATAATTATAATCATCAGAGATATACAAACGATGAACAAGAAAAAACACCCTATTGACTACCGAATTTTTGTCATAGGTACCTATTTTATGAATCAGGCGTCTTGCCTATTTTTTTATAATCAATATTAATCAGTAAGACTCAGGCCGAATTTGATGACTTTCATGAAAATATAAGAATGCAAAATGACAAAATAGGGTAATGGTTGAGCGCTCAACTAGCAATTAGAACGCCAAAAGGTTGATAGGTTCGATTCCTGGCAGAGCAGAGAATTTTTATTTATAAAACGTGCTATATATAAATTCTAGTTTGCGTAGCCTCGGCAGGAGATGATTCCCGTACGATTCGCTGTTGCGACTCAATTAGCAGTGCTGCTTTTGAGGTGGCCTACACAGTCTTTGTTATTCACTCCATACGCCACCTTAGGAGCAGCACTGTTAATTGGAATGCGATAGCGAATCGTGCGGACCTAGGCTACGAAAATTGTAAATTATAATTCGTTTTATATACAAAAATTCTTTGCTCTTCCGGGGATTCGCACCAAGCAACGTTTCTATGTTCTGATTACTATTCGAGCGCCTCATCACTGCGCTTTTTTGCCGTCCTAAAATTATATGTTTCAATTGAAACTAAAATATAATCAAATATAATAATGTTCTTCTAACCTGGTAGACAAACATCACAGCTTGTACCCCCAGTATTGTGGATACACCTCAAACATTCTCCAGTCGTAGTGTTACAGTTGCCGATGGCGTTTGGGTCGATGTTCCTGTTGCAGACGCACTGCTGACACGCAGTCGGGGATCCAAACTGACCCCTCGGATCTCCGAAGTATCCGTCAGAGCACGAATCACATTTGGGACCCGCATAACCAGTCGGACATTCCGTACACATGACCGTGTCCTCGTCGATTTGGACACAGGCTCCGCCATTGGGACAGTCGCAAGATCGACAGTCTGTGTCAGTGCCTACAGGAACAAAATAATGATCAGATCAACAATGGCTGTTGATGTTGTTGATTCCAATGGAGAGATTCAAAAAGCGAATTGAAGAAGTGATACGTCCGTATGCAAAATTGTTTGATTCATACTCTTCAGCGATCTATCAATAAAGCGAGTAGGTCGAACCGTCTGAAATTGTACCTAAATGTACCAATAATTCTAATTGTGTATAGGTGCCAAATAGCTTCTCACATGAATAAAAATCCGAGTATTTATAAAACAGCTCCAATTATACATGTATTTTATGACAAAGTGACACAACAACCTAGAACCTTTGAGTAAACATTCAAATAGTAACTTGTCTGACAAAAGTCATATATTTTTTCATGTACACACACTGGCACAATTAGGGGAACGGGCAAAATTCACACTAAGTTTGACATCAATTTCCTCTCGAACAGACCGCTCGATTAAATTTATTTTTCACGAATTGTAGCTTTATTCTTCACAAAATCCCGAGCAAGTAGCAGCAGCTCTGGTTGAGATTTGTGATAATCTTCCTCAAGAAATGATCGATAATGTCATCGAAAGCATGAGCAGACGGATGACTGCTGTTATAAGAGCGCGTGGAGGTCACACACGTTATTGAAATTATTGTTGGTGTTTTGAATACGTATTGTTCGTTAAGTCAATGTTATTGTTATTGAATGAAGGCATTGAAAAAATTACATTTCTTTTCAATCATATCTGTATTTTTCTAAGAAATCTTGTCAGAATAGAAAATAAGCGAAAATGAGAGCAATATTCAACTTGAAGGAGACATTATCTCAGGAACAACTCAAGAAACGACACATTTTCACATCCAATTCGAGTTTCGAGGTGGTAAAATTAATACCAATATCCACATTTCCTCTGGAACTCTGTGTTTTCTTGAATAATTGAGATATCAAGATGAATAAAAAACAAAAATATTCGGAATAGATTGGGCCACAATTTGGTGTTGACAAATCGTTTCAATTATCAGTGGAGATATGATTAAAAATAAATGTAATTATTTCAAAGCCTTCATTCGATAACAATAACATCAACTCAACGAACAATACGGATTCAAAACACCAACAATAATTCCAATAACGTGTGTGACCTCCACGCACTCTTATTACAGCAGACATCCGTCTGCTCATGCTTTCATTATCGATCATTTCTTGAGGAAGATTATCCCAAATCTCAACCAGAACTGCTGCTACTTGCTCGGGATTTTGTGCAGCGGGAATTCTGGACCTCAATCGTCTACCCAATATGTCCCATACATGTTCGATTGGATTAAGGTCTGGCGAACAAGCAGGCCAATCCATCGCTCTTATTCCGACTGTATTTGAAAAGTTGGAGACTGAACGAGCCACATGAGGGCGGGCATTATCGTGCATTAACAAGAAGTATTCTCCGATATGGGGGGCGAATGGTATGACATGCTGTTGAAGAACATCTCGTATATAGTCATCTGCATTTAAAGCGCCATTAACCACTACCAACTATGTTCGTGCCCCTAAACATATTCCACCCCAAACCATGACTGAACCTCCGCCATAGGAGACAGCAGTAAAATCAAATTGTTCACCTTGTTCACCTCGGCGGCGATATAGTCTTTCCCTGCCATCTATTGAATTGATGCAGAAGCGGCTCTCATCTTTAAAAAGAACGTTGGCCCACTGGTCATTTCCCCAATTCACATGCTGCCTAGCGAAGCTGAGTCTTGGCACCCGATGACGTCGATGGAGTTGTGGAGCTTTCTTCGTTCTATAGGCCCTCAGACCAATTTCTTTGAGCCGTCTGCTGATGGTCCGATGACTTATTCGTCTTCCACGTACTTCTTTCAGTTCGTTTCTCAATTGGGGTACGGTTGTACGTCTGTTTCGTAGTGTTTGGGAGACTGAAAATTGGTCATCTCTAGCCGTGGTTGACCGTTTTCTTCTTTGGCCTCGTCTCCTCACGTACTCTCCTGTTTGTCTCACATTCCGATGAATCGTAGATTTTGATTTTCCAGCATGTCAGCAACATCAGTGTACGATCTACTATTTTCAATTAATGCTGCAGCCTTCGTCACATCAGTAGGAGTCAAATCTCCCATGTTGAATTTTCATCAATTAAATTTATGAATTTTCAATCGTGAATCGCTTGACTTTGACAATAATTAATGACATAAACAAAATAGACAACGTTGAATAACAAATATAGCATTTCACCAAAAGAAAATTGAAGCAACTTTTATCACCCCTGGATATTCATAGCAGTATTCGTATATGTGTCTTTAAACAGTAAACCGATAGGTAAAACTGTGTACAATTTTCATCTTGAAGTAAAAATTCTCACAGAAACAAGTTGAAAAACGACACGTTCTTATCCCCAGTTCGAGTTTCGAGGTGGTAAAATCAATACCAATATCCACCTTTTCTTTGAAACTCTGTATTTTATTGAATAATTGGGATATCAAAATGAATAAGAAACGAGAATATTCGGAATAGATTGGGCTACAATTTGATGTTGAGAATCCGTTTCAATTATCAATGGTTCACTCCACAGGATGTCTTTAAAAATACCGAAAAATCCGTACTTTCTTTACACCCCTGTATATGATATAAAGACGAATCGTTCGAAGATGGTTATTCCTCAGATGTATTTGTGAAGAATAAAGCTACAATTCGTGAGAAAAATTCAATCGAGCGATGGGTTCGAGAGGAAATTGATGTCAAACTTAGTGTAAATTTTGCCCGTTCCCCTAATTGTGCCAGTGTGTATATTCTTTCACGCTAGGGTGGTGCAATTGCACCTCCTTGTACCCTGCTGTCGGTACTCATGAATATCTATAGTTTTCAGATAATACTATTGTCTACCTGGGGTAGTGAACAATATTGAATTCTTCCAATGTCATAGCTGAAGATTATGATCCTCCAAGTGCTTGATCGGCCTGACATATTCAATTAGATCTTCAGTTTATCTCCGATTGGGAAAGCATTATTTTCGAAATTTCATGATCCCTGGTTTTTGTATGAGCATTTTGTGCTCAACATCGATGGCTTTCTCAATCAATTCAAAAATAACTGATAGTATAGCCTATAGGTACTAGGAAGATTTTCGTAGTTTGTTGCTGAGGAAATAAGAAACAAGGTATGAGTATAGCAGTTCAATGACCGATCGCTAGCCCGCGATCGTTATTATCCATAGTATGCAATTTGTTTATCACTACTTCGAATTTGGAAATCTACTATATAAAAGTCGTGTGTTGTGTGGTGCTGTGAAAGGTGGGATCTACAGATTGCAATATAGATATGAACCACTTGTATGTGACCAAGATTCTCCTAAGATGAGAAACGCGAACCACACATTTTCATGGAAAAATTATCGAACCGACACCAATTTCAGCATCTTGAACGACTAGATCACTTATCCACTGTGTTCCTACAATGGTGCAGACTAGAGTCACTGGATGGTATTAGTTTGATAAGAGTTCGGACACAGAAATGACAACGGTTAGGGTTTTTGAATGTTTAGATTTATAAAGTTACACACCTTGCAACGTGACAAGAGCACCATAGTCGTCCCGCGCTTTTTCATTCAAAAATTCTTTGAATTTGACCCTTAATTTTATAAACGTCAGAATTGAAATAAAATTTCATAATTATAATACTTTCGAGATGAAAGCAGCTATGGAAATCACTTGCTGTGTAATAAATTGTGCCAATTTTGAAACAAATGGATATCATTTATTCGATTTTCCAAATCAAATATCATGCATTCGCTTATGGAAGGAAGATATGGAGGCCTGGGTGGAAAATCAATTTGAAGACGAGCGAAATTTGTGAGGTACCTACTCATTGAAATTCACTTCTTAAACATCATCTGGTTAGAATGAATCTATATTTTAGGCCCATTTTCAAACAGAAGATTTCAAAATCTGATTGAGAGAATCTGCTGTTTCATCAATTTACAAAGCAGACGATTTCAAGAACAAAATTCCATTATTATCATCACACAAAATACAGAACAAAATAATCATGGAAAAAGGGGAAATGATCGCAAAATTACATTATGAAATTGAAAATTTGAAAACGAAACTCAGAAAAGCAAGTAAACTACAACGTGATATATTATTGAATAGCGTTTTTGGTGCCGACCGAATTCAACATTAAACAGTGAGAAGTAGATAGATATTTATGTATCAAGGGAATTATTATAAGGGCCTTAATTACGCTGGAGGTATCGTTTTGGAGATATTTTCTATATTGATCCATGTTACTTAGCTCCTAGGGCGCTAAGTGAAGTTGCTGAGAACTTTACAAAACCAAGTATTTGGTAGGTCTCGTCAAAATAAATTACTTTTTTCTACAAACGTCAAAAAATGACAAGGTTCGCGCATTGATAACAAATTGCGAAGTGACACTTTTTTCAGTTTCCTACGTTACCATGATTCCTTGCACAAAACAATGCGCGAAGTAAAACAGTGCGCGAAGTACCTACTTCGCGCATTGTTATGTAAAATATATGAGATATTTATATTTCAACTTTATGGTCCTCAATCGAGCAGACATACACAAAATCATTTATTTCTGAATGTTCAACAATAACTTTCTTTTCTTTTGGAGCGCACGAAAGGAAATTCCTATTATGTTCGTGGAACATCGTGCGTACCTAGGGAGGATAGGGGGAGACCTTTTGAGCCAGTTCAACACTATTTTTTATATCAAGCTGAGCATATTTTCACTTTAGAACTATATTTTTTGACGTTTGTAGAAAAAATTTTGTTTGCAACTCGAGCGCGAAATACTTTGGTCATCTCGACTATTTTTTCAACTCGGCTACGCCTCGTTGAAAAAATCAGATCTCGATCACCAAAGTATAGCATTTCGCGCTCTAGATACAAAAATAACTATTCTTCTATGAAATCTTTATCAAACAATGATTTGTTCTCTGTATTTCAACACCCTGTATCTCCGAAATGAAGCATTTCCGGACACAAGCTTATACAGGGTGATTCAAAAGTAAGCGGCATCCTTTCAGAGGCGTATTCCTTGCTTGAAAATAAGGCAAAAAGTTCCTATTGATAAGGATCCGAAAATGCTTCCTAAGGGAGCTACGGCCCTTTGAATAGGACACCTCAAAGACGGTTTTTTCTCTATAACTTTAAAATCCTTCACAACAAATTTTTAAAAATTGGTGTACGGCATAAACATTCGATGGTAAATAGGACTCCGTATTCGAAATTTCAGAATTTCATTCAGGGGCGTCACATGCGGGAGAGGGTAAGTGTAAAAATATCCCTTCTTCTCCGGATATTCAGGTTACTGTGATTTCGTTTGGAAATTATTTCGAATACGGAGTCCTATTTACCATCGAATGTTTATGCCGTACACCAATTTTTAAAAATTTGTTGTGAAGGATTTTAAAGTTATAGAGAAAAAACCGTCTTTGAGGTGTCCTATTCAAAGGGCCGTAGCTCCCTTAGGAAGCATTTTCGGATCCTTATCAATAGGAACTTTTTGCCTTATTTTCAAGCAAGGAATACGCCTCTGAAAGGATGCCGCTTACTTTTGAATCACCCTGTATAGACTTAATTTCTTAAAATTGTCTCAGGAATACTTCACTGGAGTACAGTTTCACATACAATAAGGAATTATAGCTATAAGTTTATCCATATGTATATATTCTCTGATACCTATTAAAATGTTGTTACATGCATTTTTTTCATTTATATAATAGTTGCTCTTCTAGAAGTGTATCACTATGAATTGAAGTGGGTGTTTGTACCCTATATCCATTGTCCATCTACGGCTATGATTGATTTGACAGAAAATATAACCTCTAAAATCGTATCTGACAATCAGTCGCTACTAGGGAAATTGAAAAGACGAAGAGCAGGATATATGTCTTATTCTTTTATTCACTTAAACCATTGTATTATAGAAAATAGAAAAGGACAAAAGTTCAGCTGTGTCCGAACTCTTATCAAACTAATACCATCCAGTGACCTAGTGCAGACTATGCATAATTGCGTCAACTTGACATATCAAATCAATCAAAATTTTGTAACCATCCATCATAATCTAATTCAGATGGGATTATTGGCTTTTCAAATAAGAATTTACAAACAACCATTTCGAAGTAAATCGAAATCGATAGGCATTCAGGAAGGAATCACTTGTATCAGTATTCGTCAATACGAGTCGATGCATAGATTTCGAGAGGATGTACAATATTCTGCGTGGCGTTAGCCAGGAAAGTAGTTGTTTTTCTCCCGAAATCTACCATTGTTGTTCATTTTAGGAACATTGTGTGGAAAGGACTTTGAGGTTTTTGTATTTATTCAACATTCCATTCCACTTTGAGCATTGTGGCTATTTCGAAGTTGAAATCACGCCAGTCGGGCAACCAGCCACTCCCGTATGGAGATTTTGGTTTTGGAGTGTTCCTTTCCTTCATTCCTACTCAGATATCGTTTCTCTCATATTGTCTATGGAGGAGGCTTCTGAGGGAACAATGCCGACTTGATTTTTGTTTGGCTAGGCTACGCTTAGTCGGCGGTCTTAGGACTGCTGACTGGAGACTGCCAGAGCCCGAAACTGGTCTGTAGGTGTCTAGCGTAGCCGGGCTACATCGAAATCAATAGGCATTCAGGAAGGAATCACTTGTATCAGTATTCGTTTATGCGAGTCGATGAATAGATTTCGGAAAGATGTAATTCAATGTTCTGAGTGGCATTAGCCAGGAAAGTAGTTGTTTTCCTCCCGAAATCTACAATTGTTGTTCATTTTATTTACATTTTGTGGAAATGACAAAATTTTCTGTATTTATTCAACATTTCATTCCACTATGAGCATTTCGTAGTAGATTTCAAAGTTTGTATTTGTGGGATCAGGTATACAGGGTGTTTCAGTTTTTTGTAGCAGGACTTTAACAGATTGAAGAAAAAATTTTTTCAAGATGAAAATCTCATACAAACATATATGCATGGAAGCTTCGTTTTCGATTTACAGGGTGTCAAAGTTTCAGATTTTTTTTATGTTTTTTGAATTTTCTCCTACAATTTTCGGAATAATTGATTGAAATTGGATACACCTAATACACTTCAAAAACCTAATATCTGAGGCTATTGAGCGTTCTTGAATACCTACAGGGTGATAGACTTTTAGGGGTCGTACCCAATTTAACCCTGTAGAACTTTTTTGCGTGCCGACTCTGGTTTCAATGGGACATAGATTCAGATTGTCTCTGCAATTTGGAAACTTTTTGCCCTCATGTACATTTTTCGAAAACTATATGGATCTCGAGATAAATGCCATAAATAAATTACTTGTAATGAAACACACTTATTTGACATTTCTCAAACATTTTATTGGAAAATAGAATGACCGAAAGCTTCCATACCAAATGAAATACAGTTGCAAAATTAGATTGAATTTTTTGAACACCATTATAAATGAAACTAGGAAAAACAAAGAAAAAATGTTTTTATTTTAAAAAAACTTCTCTAACTGGATTGCAAAATCTGAAATCAGGGACTGTATGATACACGGTCTAGGAGCTATACATCGCAAGACTGTCGCTTCTGACGGTTGAGGTGTTGTGAGTTTTAATAATTTAATCTCGTGAACGGCAGTTCCAATTTTATCAGTACCCTTAGAAGTGGTTCGGATTCCACTTTTATTTATCTCGAAATCCATACAGTTTTCGAAAAACATACATGAGGGCAAAAAATTTACAAATTGCAGAGACAATCTGAATCTATGTCCCATTGAAATCAGAGGCGGCACGCAAGAAAGTTCTACAGGGTTAAATTGGGTACGACCCCTGAAAGTCTATCACCCTGTAGGTATTCAAGAACGCTCAATAGCCTCAAATATTGAGTTTTTGAAGTGTATTAGGTGTACCAAATTTCAATCAATTATTCCGAAAATTGTAGGAGAAAATTAAAAAAACATTAAAAAAATCTAAAAGTTTGACACCCTGTGAATCGGAAACGAAGCTCCCACGCATATATGTTTGTATGAGATTTTCATCTTAAAAAAATGTCTTCTTCAAGCTGTTGAAGTCCTGCTACAAAAAACTGAAACACCCTGTATATCTCTTGAGCCAGAGGTCTTCATATCCTTATCTTGTGACTCCCCTGCCCTGATAAGGACCAGATGACCTGAAATGTTTGCAATTGGTATTCGTTTATACGAATGGTTGCATAGATTTCAAAAGGATGTTATGAATGTTTTGCGTACCCAGAAGGGTAATTTTTTCAATTTCTATATATTACTCCTTGGAAGCATTTCTCAAGCCAATTTCTGTCTGGCAAATTCTCTAGTACCTCTCGCCATTGTTCAATCTTTACTTCTATGCCAATCCAATTCCAAAGCCAACCAAGTTTTGGAATTTCTCACCTCCCAAAGCATTGCCATAGAATCCTCTTGCACATAGTTCACAGTTTTCTCCAACCGTATTGTGTTGACAGATGCATTTACCACTGTCAGATTCACAAATGCTAGCATGATTGTTACAGTCACATGGAATGCACGATGCAAATGATCCTCCTAGAGCAGGAGAATGTCTAAAACCAGGACCACACGATTCACAAAATTGTCCAACATACCCTGGAACAAAAAAATATCATGATAGAATAATAACTTACTAGTGTTAGAAATTTGTAAATTCGCGGGAATCAATGTTATCAACCAGGTGGCGCTCGGTTTTCATCGTTCCATGTCAAAGCCACGTCAAAACTGGGAGAAAATAAACTCAATCCTCACTCAATCCCATTAGTGCCATTAGCTTGTGTACTGTGTACTGATAAGAGTGATAAGTTTTCACATTTCTTGACATTAATTGTCAATATTCGATCGAAAACGCTAATAATGCCTGTTGTAGAGTAGATGTTCTTTTGGCAGATATTTTGCTCTATTTAGATGGAAAAAGCCGACCAGTAGTGGAAGGAGAAGCAGTTCTCCGTGCTAATCATGTGATTTTGTGTGAGGCAGAAGACTTCAACAAAAGGCACATTTTTGCACTTTTTCTACAAACTTCGGCAATGAAATCTTCCCCACATGAAGTAAAATTGATGTTGGGGTCCAGAGGAACTCCTGTAGAACAATGGATTTGTATTTGTTCATACAAAGCAGGACAATCTGGGCATTGTAAACATGTTGTAGCTGTTCTTTTATATGTATGTCAATTGATTTGCTCGTCATAATTAGTTTGAATTGTTTGAACTATTCTTCACCCGTTCACTGTTCACTAAACTGATAAAAATCTGAAAATGTAATAACAAATTAACCAACTTTTACCAACAGTGCCAACACTTCATGTCATTGACAAGTTTGACTACAGCTACAGCAAGCTGAATGCAATGTAGTCTATGCACTTTATCCATAGACAACAATTTGTTTTCCCCCAGTTTGAAGTTCGTATTATGTAACCTAGATGTCGCCCACTTCGTGAATCTCGCGAATAGGCGCACAATGAGACCTTCTATTGCAACAATATTTTTTTATTTTTCGTCTCTCAGAGCACACGAAAGAATATCCCTGTTCCCTATTATTTTCGAGGAACATTGTGAGGATATACACAGAAGTGCACGAAAAACGGCCAGTGCTGTATCTTCTGAAACTTTTCAGATCTGTTTTTGAAAATTGGGGGGTAGCAAGTATACCAAATCGTCCATTCATTGACAAAATAATGTTTGTTCAATCACTTCCGGTTTCACAAGAAACGACCCTAACTTCTGATTCTTCAATGGGACATAATCGGTTAGGGATCATTATGACAAATTCAACGATACCGGGTTTGATATGGTTGATTCAAACAACTTCGAGGATATTTGCGTTCTAATTTTCTATTTGCTCGATAAGTGGGACAGAGAAAGAAGTTTCGATATTGCGAAGTCACACCCATTGAGCATATGGAAACTTAGGACACGAATATTTTCGTAATCTTTTGAAATAACCCTATCAAATCCAGTATCGTTGAATTCATTATAATAATCCCTAACCGATTATGGAATGAAAGACAGGGTGTCCTATTCAAAAATCGAAAGTAAGGGTCGTTTCTGGTGAAACGGAAAGTGATAGAACAGAAGTTGGTTCGTCAATTGATGGACAATTTGGTATTCTTGCTACCCACTGATTTTCAGAATCCGATCTCAAATCATTCAGAAGTTACAGCACTGGCCGTTTATTGTGCACTTCACTGTATACGAAGAGGAGGTAGGTATTGGAAAATTTTCAAACTTCTCAAGGTTATGAGTTCTTGAGAATACTTCGTTCGGCAAATAATTCCAAAGCTTTACCAAACTGTTCTGGTAGAAAGTTGTTTGTCAATAGGATGTGCTGACTGGGTTTGTCGAGTTCGTCTGACTGGTATTGCCAGTTATGGGGTGATAGCCAAGATTTCTGAGGAACATGTCTCGTAAAAGCACGTAGAAGTATCTATATTTGATAGTTATTTTAATATAGATAATATTTTAATGCGCTTGCGCTGGACTTGATGAATAATTTCTGACTGTCTATTACGGAGGTGAATATTCATTGGCAACTTTTGACATCACAACCTGAAATTGATCCATTTTGACATCCTGTCAAAGCGTCAATAACGATGAAATGCAGAGAAATAGGCATATTCATTATCGATTATGGTTCTTTCATTTTGTGTTTCATATGATATCCGAGATAATACCTTTCATTTTATTGTGCAATTCTGATTGTAGTTTGAAACTCGATTGTTGAAAGTGACGAGAGCCAATACCTCTCAAAGAATTTCCATCATGTGATATGTTGAGATTCGTGATATTTAATAAATAATATTCCTTGCAAAAAAAACTATGATGAAAATAAATGTACAATATCATGTTTTCAGTGCATATTACTTTTGCCGCCAGTGATGGTTTTCAAATGTGAACATTGACGTCAAAGATTGTAGATTGTAGATGGGTCGTATAGGCTGGGAGACCTCTCGATCACTGCGACCTAGAAGATTTATTGTGATTACCCTTATCTAGTTTTGGTCCTCTAACCTTAGCCTTCTGATGAAGCCTACAATTTTACTAATACTTCACATGAGCAAAGTATGTGTTCCGCGGTTTCGGTCGCATTGTTACAAAAGCGGCAAGTGTCTGTCTCCGCCAGGCCCATCTTTTTGAGGTGGTACCTCCGAGGGCCGTGTCCTGTGAGAATGCCTGTGATAAGCTTAAGCTCTGGTTTGCTGAGGCTGAGTTGCTCTTTGGCTCGATTCTGCGAATGGTTGATGAACCTTTTCGCTTGTCGTTGACCTGGAGTTGCTCTCCAGTAGAAGGACTTTTCAATTTCTTAAAAGGACGTCAAAATGACTTAGTGAAATCATCCCAATGGTCTGTCTGAATGACATGTCATATGAACGTTTTATCAACAGTAAAAACATTGGAGCTTTTTGTATCGGATAAATTTCTCTTGGCAACGAAAACTATTTGCCGATCAGTAATTTTGAGAGAAACTGGCATGAAAAAATTGCGAGACCGTAAGTCGAGAAATTTAGTCTAATGTCACTTTTTCGAGAGAAATAACTGATGGAAAATGTTTAAGTTAGTAAGAAAATTTATCCAATTATAAAAAAGTTCGAGAATTTTTTGGCAAGATAAATCAACGACAATATGTAGATGAAAAACAATAATGATTACCTTTATTGATGATTCTGTGTAACTGATGGTTCGTGGTTTCTTCAGACGAAATTTTCCTAAAACGGCTCATCTTGCTAATTTACGCGTGAATCATACTCATCAATCAAACTTTTCACGACAGAAATTGGAGTGACATCAGGCACAAATAGCAACTAGATCAAAGGAGCAGGCAGTTCATCAGCGGTAAAAAAGGTGCATCCTTCTTTATCGATGTCAATTTAACTCACGTCGTCGTCAAATATCGGTTTCCGTGTAGGAGTTGATTTATCTAAGCAAAATTGTCCCTAATGTACACGTTATATTCAACCAATACACAAACGTTTGTTCAATTACTAATTCAATCGATGTTCAAATGATAGCATGAGTACATACTCGATAAACGTTAAAGAAAAATAACTGTCCAAAACCATTCAAAATAGTGCGGTATAATATCATATTTTTTCGGTTCGAGAATTACTTTCTTAGTCAAAGTTGATTTGTCAGTTTCTGAAATTATATTCAACAACGTTATTTCAGTGTGATTTCTCCACGTATCATTCAAGTTCATCATCTTCAACTCTTCCACTTGATTTGTTTTTTGGTTCTTATCAATATTATCGTTTTTTCTAGTGTTTTTCAACTCAGTGGCATCTCATGACTTCATCATGTGGGTAGTCGGTATAACCCTTTTGTATGATCTCACAATAGATCCTCTAACCCTTTTCTGAGAGACATTCGGTCCTATTCACTAATAGCGTGGTTATTTTAGCAACTGTCATCCGGGTGATTAATATGAAGGTCAGTGATTATCTGAACCACTTACAGATTTTCTGATTCTCTAAGGCATAAATGGGTATAATACACTAACAACTTGTCATGTTTTTTTTTACTTTTCATAGTGGCAGATATCCACGTTTTCTGGTATATAATATTTGTGGAGTGGCTAGGGTTTTTGAAAAAGAAAAAAAAATGTGGCACCATTTCAAGGAATTGTTGTTTATATCTGTTAATGGATATTGCGAAAGAGGTAATTGTACGACATCAATAAAGTATTGAATACTCACCCATATATTTGTGAAAACAAAAGAATCACCTATTTCACTTGAAGGATAGCATCAAACAATAGAATTTTGAGGAATTCAAAACAAATCCATCCTTGAATTTTGGAAAATCTATCACATGTCAAAAGTATTGGTTTTGATACCATCAATAAAACCGTAGATAGAAGACGTTGGTGAGCTACTTTTATTCTACTACATGTAAAAATAAATCTCAGTTGTTTTTGTAATATGTCAATATAGAGAGCACTGAGAGAATATTAAATTTATAACTAGTGCCTAGTATTTCAGATACTTATTGCTGCTTTACATTTACTTGCACGAGGATCCTGTCAGGGGGACTGATTCTAATGTAGCAATTTCTCAACCAAGTGGTTGTAGAGATTGTTAGGATAAAATGACGTTGAAAGGGCAGAAATATAGCAATAATCAATGAAATAGTGGATGAATGACAAACTTCACAGCTTTATTTATACCACTGAGTTGGAAGGTAAAAAACTAACCACATTGTTAAATGTTGTTCTTAAAGAATAATATGAATAGTGGAAATTCTGGGGTGATGAAAAATAACAACGTTTCTAATTCAGCCACCCTATTGAACACTTCTTGAAGAATCGGACCGATTATTCTAACTTCTGACTTTCTATCGTATAAGCTGAAACAACCGTGAATTATTATTTTTGAATATTTTAGTTCCAGCTCATAATATGTTTAATGAATTGGATGGACATCCGCAAATAATACTATCTCCGCGTTCATTTAATGGAATTAGTTTATGTGGCATATTGATCACACTACTGCATGATATTGAAATTATTGAAATAACCTATTGTTCGTTCTTTGATTCAACTAGTTTACTATAAGTATTGCTACTTTGAGTGATTCTTCATGCTGTTTTTTTCGTTATTGAGAATATCGTGAATGGTGAACGTTTAGAAAACGAAGATGAATAATTATTTTCGAATGATTACTTCCGAACCAATTTCATGGGATGAAGATATATAAATTATCGACAATTCAAAAATTTATAGAATTCTCATATGTATGTGTTCCAAGTTAGCTATTATTTGGATCATTGAGAATCTTCCGACCAAACTAATGACAAAACTGCTCAAAGTGGTGTATATGGTAGGTATATGTAAAAATAGGATATTATCTATATCATTTCAAATTGAGAAATATTGAATTATGATTCATGTGCACTGTACTGGATATTCTCCATACCTGTTGGACAGTCACAAGACTCAATCCAATGAGCAGGCTTTCCAGCTACTCCTCTGGATGCCGTTTCCAGCTTGACCTCATCCAGGAATCCTTCTCCTTGAACCGAATATATCCCTTTGATCTTTATCGCTGTCAAATTGGACAAGATAGAGAAGAACGCCCTCGCAGATAGCCTAGGCTGCCAGCCGTAATCAGGGTTTTCATGAAGACGGTAACTAAATTTCTGATTCTGAAATCATAAGAATCATAAGTAATTAAATAGGTACTGTTGCAGCAGTCGACATCAGGTTCATTCGGGTTCCGATTTCAGAACTGTTCAAGAATCGTTCTTGAACTGCGTAGAACTAGTGCGCAGTCGTTTCGAATCCTAGGACTGTTTCAGAACGGTTCACAAATTATGAAAACCCGAACGCGGCAGAAGAGACCCTCTGAGAACATGAACTCTATTAGGAATCTTTATTCGAATAATATTCTGAAGCTTCAAACTCTCCTTTGAGTCTATTCACAATATCTCAGGAAACTCTCTGTGGAGGAATGGTGAATATATGCCATCATAGCATTCGTAGCTAGATTTTCAATATGTTTTGTTCCTTGTACCTACATGAATTTTGACACCCACCTGAAATGTTCAATGAATTGTGTATCCGAGTCTTGCCAACATAATCTTCCATTTTTCGGTATATCTAATAAAAGATCGAGAATTATCAGATTATAGGTACAATATTTCCAGCAAGTTCAGCAAGAAACTCCTTCACCACTGCTTCCTGACGATGAAGAACTACTATAATATTGAATGAATGTATACTAACTCCATAATATTGAGAAAATATTGAAAAGAGCAATAAACAGTAGAAGAAACAAAAATATATCATTATGACGTTACGTTACAACAGACAGAATCGAAAACTCAATGGAATGAGCATGCGCCAAAAATAATCCTAGAACGGTTTATGCTCGAGAGCAGGTATTGGTTTCGGATAGTCCAAGGACCGTCCCAGGACGATTCTGAAGAAACCCGAACGCGTAAAGAGTCAGTCCTAGAATAGTTTCACAAAACACGAATGCGACCGATTCTACTGCGCAAAATCCTGACAGTTCTAGAACAGTAATTGTTCGAACCAGGATGAACCTATCATACCTGGAGGGACGGAACTTTATTTTGCTGAGAAAATATCGTATTGGTCACAGTTAGTTCACCGCCTTCTAAAACAATATCCGCAGGAGTTGGCACAGCTCTGTTATCCCCAATCCTCAAGGTAAATTCGAGTAACTGATTGTAGGAAAACATCTGGTCGCCCAAGAATCTTGGAGGTGCCACGAAGTACACTATCCTGTTTCCACTGGATCTGACTCCTACAAGTTATAGAAACTATACACTACTGAAGAGTGATAATCGTTACAAATTGTACGCACCAACACTTTGCGTGAAAGAATCGTATTTCAAATCGACTGGTCTTCCGTGCTCATCTTCAGCTGTCCATCTCTCATCACTACGGGAAAATGAAGATTCTACGAGGTACTTGGAGAATCCCGGAGCTGAGTGACAGTTAGATGAATGGCCATAACAAAAGCAAGGCGTACAACCAAATTTGTTGTCTGAATCTAGATTGAAGTAGCCTGGTTTGCATTCGCGACATTGTTTCCCTGCAAAGGAAATAAAATTGATGGTCAATATATGTATACACTGGGACAAGTATGTTAGCAAATATAATTATATTGTCGACTTCGCTGATAACAACTCGCCTCTTGAGATTAATGAAAATTAAGGAATTATGCTGCGGCAAGCGAGTGCATCTTTATACATATCATAAGTGTCAACGAATCTCTTGGACAAGAAGTTATAACTCCTATACCTTTTCAACTTCAATTTCAGAATCGGTATGCTAAATGCTAAATTATACTTCGGAAAAAGTGAACTCGGTTTCAGAAATGGTTAACTCAATTCCAGAATCAGTTAGTTGAATTTCAGAAAATGTCAATTCAATTCCAGAAATGATAAGTTATACACTCAGTTCCAAAAAAAGTGACGGACTTGATTGATTTGACCTATCTTCTTAAAAAAAAATTAGTGGACCGATTTTTTTTATTCGTTGGTAGGTAATGCATTTGTCTTTGAAAAAAATAAAGAGGTGAAAATTTGAACATTCTTTCAAAGCCTCCTTGATGGTGGTGGAATAACTCGAACCATGATTTATTCTTAATTTTTGACTCAACCTGTGTGTAAATTGAGTAATGGTATACAAAGTGCTTGCACCCTATATGAAAGAGGGTTCTTTTGCGAGCATTTTGTTTTTTTATTCATTGATTTATCTCTAAAATTTTCCGAATTGCAGCTATTTTGCTGATACCTTACGCTTATCCCACAAATTGAATTTATTGAAGGATCAGAGTACTCAAAATTGATTGGGTTGTACTCTGGTAGGATCACATTGTCTTCAAAAAAACGAATGCCGTTGCCATAGCAACTAATTTGTTGTATGCCTCCATATTTGACCATTTGTAGTTGTGTCATTAATTAAGTGTCTTGTTTTATTCTAGAATTACATAAATTGCCTCAAATAAATCCTGAACAAGTAGCAAGATTAGTTGCTTTAGTAAACGATGGGCGTAGTAAACGTTACGCCGCTCGTGCAGTGGGAGTTCATGAAGCAACTGATCGTAGAACAATCCGCAAGAAAGAACAAACAGGAAGCACGACCGCTCGGAGGGTCGGTTCTGGTCGCCCCCGGAAAACTTCTCCAAGAGATAATCGCTTCTTGAGATTGCGGATTTTACGGAATCGATCAAATACTGCGGTAAATGTTCAGCAAGATCTTCGCCAAATTCGTGATGTTGCAGTAAGTAAGCAGACGGTATGTAGACGTCTAAAAGAAGTTAATTTGAAAGCTAGGAGACCTGCAAAAGGTTCCAAATTATTGCCCGAACATCGTGCTGCTAGAAGGAATTTTGTTGAAAATTATGGACAGTGGAATATTCCTGAATGGTCGAATGTCTTGTTTACGGATGAGTCAAGGTTTTGCCTTAACATGGTGGATGGAAGAAAAAGAGTGTGAACTGGTGAACGGTTCAATCAAAATTTAATAACAGAATGCGAAAGTTTTAATGGTGGGTCCGTTATGGTGTGGGAAGGGATTTCAATGAATGAAAAGACACCCCTTCATGTTTTTCCGGTGAGGCAGTCGATGAATGCCAAAATTTACATCGACATTTCAGAGCAGTATGTCTTACCTTATGCAGAGTTATTGGGCAATAATTTTATATTGATGTAGGATAATGCCCGACCACACACCGCAGCAATAGTGCGAAACTTCTTAGAAGCTACTGGTATTACCACATTACAATGGCCTGCGAGAAGCCCTGATATGAATCCTATAGAACATTTGTGGGATGAATTAGGGAGAAGGGTACGTTCTCGCGAGAGGTCTCCGGAAAGTCTCGCAGAAATGGCAGATGCATTAGTGGAAGAATGGGATCGTATACCAATGGAGACGATAAGCAACTTAATTTCCAGTATGCCTTGTAGATTAGAAGTTCTTAGAGTTGCTAGTGGAGGCAATACACGGTATTATGCAGTCATCCCAATTCATAATTTTGTGTTTAATACAAATGTATTTTAAAATTATTGGTATCAGTTTATTTCATTAGAAAATTGTTTCTCGATAAATTCAGAAAGTTGGTAATCTGCAAGGATTCAGCAAGAAAGCTGTAATTCTGAAAATTCTAGAGATAAATCAATGAATAAATAACAAAATGCTCGCAAAAGAAGCCTCTTTCGTATAGGGTGTAAACACTTCCTATGCCATTACTCAATTAACACACAGGGTGAGTCAAAAATTAAGAATAAATCATGGTTCGAGTTATTCCACCACCATCAAGGAGGCTTTGAAAAAATGTTCACCTCTCTATTTTTTTTAAAGACAAATGCATTACCTACAAACAAATAAAAAATAAAAAAATCGGCCTACTATTTTTTGTTTTTTTTTCAAGAAGATAGGTCAAATATCAAGTGCGTCACTTTTTTTGGGACTGAGTGTACTTCAAAATTGGTTAGTTCAATTTCAGAAAGAAAAGTTCAACTTGAAATGAATAATCCTGATTACACATTCACTATCGTGAATTGAATAAGTCACTGTATAAATCTTATTAGTTCATAGGATGATGAGCGTGCATTTGAAATGGACATCCTACAGATACCATAGTAGTTCTGATGGATGATGCACCTGCCCATTCAAGAATATATAGAGGAGATTTGCATGAAGGAAGGATTTCAAGATGTTCGTATTTGCAGGTTGGCACCTTACAGTCCCCAATGTTCAACCCAATAATTGAACATATTTTGGAAAACCTTCAAGTCAGAAGTGAAAAGCTTCTTGCAAGAGCATCACCAAAGGGCCATAGCAGGGAATCCAAACAGATTGCTTGACCAAATAGACTGTGATGCCTTGAAGAATGTTCAGGTCATCCAATGACATATACCTCAAAAGTGTTTGAATTCTTTTAGATCATGTGCGACGCCACTATCCTTCTGCGATTCAAATGGAAGACATGTCTATGGATTAATTTAACCCTTTGCGTCCGACTGGTCATGCCAGATAACCACATAACAAATAATTCATCGGCGCTCTACTAGTGGTTCTGTAGCATAACCATGCACCGTTCATACACGATAACAGCCACCTATGGACTGAATTGATTACTGCGGCATTGTTTCAACTCACTAACGATGGCGTTAGTAGCTTTTGGCATCTGATGAGTATACGTAGTCCTACTGGTCACTTGCGGCAACCACCTGGTCACTTGGGGCAACCACTTTTTTTGAAAAAAAAAAAAATGGACGATTCAGATTTTTTCTTATATTCCTTATTGTTTTTATGATGTTTCTGGTCACATAATATATTTTCAGAAAATAAAATCTCAAAAATCACTAATTCCGGATTCAAAGGGTTAAGATTGAGTTAAGTATAATATATGTTCTTCGATGGTTTTTGAAAATTTTACTATTCTGAAGATGTTTGTTCTTTTGACGTGCAACTAAAAATATGTCAAACAGATATAAGGATTCATTTTCTGAAATACAACTTACCATTTCTGAAATGGAATGAACTTTTTCTGAAATTCAACTCACCGATTCTGAAAATGAGTTTACTATTTCTGAAATCGAACTAACCAATTCTGAAATCGAGTCTACCTTCTCCGAAATACAACTTTCCGATTCCGAAATTGAAGTTGAAAAGGTATAGAATATCAGGTGTATATCAGGATGAGATTTACTATAGCTGAATAGTGGGTGAAGAGGAGACCTTCAACATATTTTTCATTATTCGGTTACCGAAAATGACTACGGTTGTGAATTTTCAAATGCAACAGTCTGTCTATTGTAACATTTGCTAATTTCTGAGGCATTTCTGGATCAGAACATGACATTCTCAAAGGTTTTAACGCCTACTTGATTTTTCAGACTCACTTCCAATATTGCACAAACCTGATTTTTGCTCATGAAGCTTATGTACAGAGGATGTTCCATTGAAAAATTCAACACTCGAGCATTTCCGGTGAAATAGGAAGTGACCGAAAAGTGGAAAATATGCGAAAACTCTGATTTTCACATACCATCATTTACCTATGATGAATCTCATTTTGATACACCTGTTATTCTGAAAGTCATGACTTGTCTAATATTTAGAATAGTTGACATCTGGTAAATGACGATGTTTTGTAGTAGGTAATTGACTTTGCTACCTTCAGTGAGTGCATATCTGTTGATAGGAGTAAGACAATGCAAGAATCATAAGAAGAGAACTACTAATCCAGATATGGCAGGGCAATTGAGCGTACTGATGGTTGCATGATCTGCTGCAGTTTTCTTCCAGGATTGTTCATGAAGAAATGTGAAATTTTGACTGAAATCCAATCTGACTCTCCATAATTGCCATTCTGTTTTGCAGAATACGAGAGAAAATATTTTTCTACACATTTGTGTCTTGCAGTTCTAATTTGCATAACCGACGTAGGTGATCCATAACTTACAGTGGAGGTGATATAAATCAGAAGCGGTGGAAGAACTTACAGGTGGTGGAGTTGTGACTGTAAGTTCTTTCACCCCTCCTGATTTAATTGGTATATTCGTGTTAGTGTTTCCAACGATGTAACCATGGATAGCGAAGACATGTCCGTTTGGCATAAAATAATTATAGCTGTAGTTAAGAGAATGAATCGCTGTGGTTATCTGGCTTGTTCATTCATAATACATGCTCCTTATGCTTCGTGAAATAGTCTGGCAAAATGCTACTCTGTTCTGAATATCCACCATGTGTCCTAACGAACTCGTGGTGTTGCTCGGCAACACGATTTCGTGAATGATAGAGCTATAAAATTATTTCGAATATTCAGAACATCGTGGCATTTCTGTTGATTATGCTCACGATTATCTGATTCACTACCTACAGGAATTTATAACTTTCTCTCAATACCAAACAGGGTGGAAGTAAAATTGGATTCCAGTCAAAATGTTTCCTTTCCTCATAAAAGTCATGGATGACAACTGAATTACAACAGTAAGAATATCATGCAATATCAGTATTCTAACCCACCTTTATGAGCAGAGTCTACATGAGATTCGAACGTTGCAATACTTCCATTGATAGATGATTTCACTAGCGGTAATAAAATCTAATGCCATCAACTAATTACTATATAAATCATTGTCTAATAGCCATACATAGATGCAACAAAGTTCAAGTAATTCGTCAATTCTGATTTTGATGATAACTCGAATATTAACTGAAGTTGATAGAATTCTTCCTTATTGTATACTAGATGCCGATATAAACCTAAACGTACCTTCAACATTTTCTTTGCAATAACATTTCCCAGAGTACGGATCGCATCCAGCTACATTATTCAACGAACCACCTTCCAAACACCCACAGGATCTGCAACCGTACGGTGAAAAATCGAAAAAGTTCGTCTCACATCTATCACATTTGCTTCCAGTTACTCCCGGCTTACACTGGCAAGCTCCTTTGGAGTTACACTGGAGGTGTATGGAACCAACTGGATGGCAGTCGCATGCAGTACAGTAGCCATCCTCCCTTGAGTAGAAATGGTCTCTACATCTCTCGCAGTTCGGACCATCCCGGTTGGCGGAACAATCTAAGCAATGGCCTCCATGACCTGTTTGTTCGTAGAGCTGTTCATCGAAGTAGCAGCGGCTGGAATATCCATTGCAATTGCATTCTGGAAAAGAGAAAATAGTTATTTATACACCAAGTATGTAACAGTCTCAGGGGTTTGGTGGGTTTGTTGATAGAAACGCTGATGGTTCAGGAGACTATTTATTTGCTTCAAAAGTTCACCAAAATCACGTGGTTGAGCGAAACGTCGGAAACCTAAATATGAAAAGGACAGTACATCAATAATATAAGGGGTGAAGCAATTATACAAATAAGTAACAAAAGTAGGTATAACTAACATGTGACCTGAAGGGGTCGACTCAAAAATCATAAAGTAGTATAAAAGAGTTTTAACCACCTAAATATGAAATGCAGGCACAGGCCAAGATGTTCCAAAGGAACATTGGGCACATATAAGACCAAAAACACCAAATTTGGGTTCGATCGACGTGGATGTTTGAATTATTCACTTGGTTGAGAAAACTGCCCGTTCAAGAGTGAAATGACCAGCGCAAGACATTTCGGAAATACCCTCTCAACCATAACCGACCTAGGCGCGCGCACGGATTTTGAATCTGTATTAATGAAAAATGGGTTGCCTAGCCTCCTGAAGAATATTTGATTATATTTAAAAGAGAGCATGGGCGGCGACATTGATTTGTTACGAGCACCAAGGTCGTGAATAATATCATCATTATCATGATTACCCAGTGACCAACATTATATCTTCACAACCAAGGTGTATTCTAAATCTTTGTTACCACTAGCAATATAATATATTCGAATCCTTCTGTGAAACTGAAATATGGACCTATTTTCACTATGGAAGCCCTTATTCCTTTCAATTCTAATTAAAATCTAGGGTATGTTCCATTTCCAAAGTTGGTTGTGGTTTGCTGTACCGTATTTACTGGTCACCTCATTTACCGGCTGAAAACTGGTTAATTAGAGAACACGATTCCTGTCACCAGAGGAACCAGTCGAAAATCATCGGTATCCCGGTGAATATGAAAAACTGACAATAGTTTGGGTTGAAGTTTGAAGTGGTATTGGATGTTTGAAAATATGGATGTACGTATGAAATAAGTGAATACGAATCCTCTGATGAAAAATCTTCCATCCTCACAAAAATAAATGAAAAATGTATAGCCTCTCACGTGTGGAAAAATGTTTTGACAAGTGACAACACACCTGCGTTCCGTATATAAACCGAATTTTTCCAGCATTCCTGTTGACCACTCATTACCACCCTTCCATTTTTGGTGTACCATTCGGTTTACTAACTGACAGATGACAAGTCGTTATTGATTAATACCTAGTAGATTCGAGTGTCATTCCTGATCTCGCATCAGAACAATGAATTCAGGTTGATTCTTATAATGGTGGCTATGTCTTCATTGACTAATAATAATAATAATAGTAATAATTAATCGTCTTTATTCATCTTGCATAATTGCATAATCATTGTAGTACAAAGATGAAAAGGCGAAGTGTCAGCTGATGCTGTTTTACAACTTAACCCTTGAAGAAAAAGAAGGAATAAAGAGAAGAAAAGGTATAGAATACAATATAGTACTATTGAACTTATTATAAAGAGAATTTCCATCGATAGTTTGATAATCGGAAAAGTCTTGAGCTATGCGAAGTAGAATATATATTAAATTATGCATCGAAAAATCTATCCATCATTCAGTAATGCTTTCAGTTTCTTTTTGAAATTTAGTAGATTATAATTATGAAAATCAGTAGGTAGAGAGTTATAACATTTAGTGGCTGTATAAGAGAAGCTTCGTTTATACAAACTGGTTTTGTATTTTTGGAATTACCAAGGTATTTTTGTTTCGTGTTCTCGCATTGTTATAGTTTCTGAATCTGATCAGTTTAGCAGCTAGATAAATTGGGGAAGATGTAGTTATTATTTTATGGGTTAAAGTGAGTAAATGGATTTTCCTCAATTTTTCCAGTCTCAGCCAACCAGACTCTCTGAACTTTGCAATGATGTGATCATATTTTCGAATACCATAGGAAAATCGTATGCAGGGATTCTGAATACGCTGTAATCTGTAGGCATCATTCCGCAAAAGTGCAGGGCCGTAGACCGCGTCACAATATGAGAGCTTAGAGATAATCAAGGATTGGCAGAGATTTAGTTTAAGATTCGAGGTGGGTAAAATGTCCTCAGAAGGGTATAATTGTCTCAACACATTGAAAGAGCTTTGACACAAATGACATACGTGTTTTGTGAATCGTAATTGCTGATCGAACCAGACACCCAAGTTTTTGCATTCATTGACAAATGGTAGTTGTTCGTTGGAAAGTTTAAGTGAAAAGCTCCCCTCAGCTAGTGCACATTTTGATTTTGTGCCGATAAGCATAGCATGGGACTTGCGCGGATTTATCTTAAGGTTATGTGCAGTGGAAATATCGAAAAGAGAGGTCAGATCATCATTTACTTGTTCAGATGTTAAGTCGGCGTTGTTTATGTCAAAGCTGATATAAAGTTGGGTATCGTCGGCATAGTGATGAATATGACAGTACTCAATTGTCTCATGAAAATCACAAATATATAAAGAAAACAGTAATGGACCAAGAATGGATCCTTGAGGTACCCCAAACTCTACAGGTAGTGTTCCTGAAGATTCACCATCAAGAGTGATTGACTGAGTCCGAAACGTGAGAAAACTTTTGATAAGAGCTACTGAGTTCTGATGAAATCCAATATATTTGAGCTTCTTACAAAGAACATCATGATCAATGGTGTCGAAAGCTTTAGTGTAATCCAACAAAATTAGACACGAAGATTCACCTCTATCTACTGACCGAAACAAGTCGTCAGTGACTTTCAAAAGTGCAGTGGTGATACTATGACCAGAACGAAATCCAGATTGGGCTGAAGAAATTATATTTTGACTGGAGACGAAATCGAAGATTTGTTCCTTGAGAATCTTCTCAAATGCCTTCGAGAGTGAAGGGAGGATACTGATAGGTCTCAAATGTGTCAATTCAGTAGGGGAGTTGCATTTAGGTATAGGTAAAACATTTGCAATCTTCCATACGGTTGGAAAGTGATTGGACTCAATTGCCTGGTTGAATATGAAGGTTATATGATTAATTAAATGCTCCTCCACCAACTTTATCATTTTCAAAGAGATCTCATCAGATCCTACAGCATTACTTTTTATTGCGGTCATATGTTTTTTACTTATCCAGTAAAGCCAGTTGATCATTGGTTTTATCTGGGTGAGAAGTATTCGTAAAAAAAGCATTGATGCGCTGGGCGTTTTTGAGATTATCAGGAAGGTCAGATTCGTTTTTCCTAAGTACCTATGTCCAAATTCCTCAAAGTATTCCAAGTCTGTCGCGAGTCTTTATTTCTCAGAATAAACTTCAGGTATTCCTTTTTTTCCACGCGAATCGCACGAGTAGTGTAGTTTCTGAGGTCTTTGTAACTGATCCAGTCAGATAATTTCTCGGATTTTTTGAATTTTTTGTATGCTTTGTCTCTCAATGAAATCATTTCCCTTATGTTCTCAGTTAACCAAGGTGTGGGAGGTTTAGTAACCCTCACTCGACGAGAGGGGGCGTGTAAATTGAATATCTTTAAGATATTTTCATTGAGAAAGGTTAGCATTGCATCGACATCGTTAAGAGTATAAATCGAGTCCCAATCGATAAGCATAAGGTCTTCATAGAAATGATTGATATTGAGCTTCGAAAAATCCCGGTGAGAAATAAATTTTATTTTATTCGGTTTTTGTATGCCTTTCAATTCGCATTTGATTAAGAGATGATCGGAAATTCCTTGAAGGTCAACTGTATCAATGTGAGTTATCAAATTTGTTTCAGAGCATACGAGAATATCAATGAGGCTCTGTGTTGGGGGGGTGACTCTCGTAGGAGTGTTTATTAATTGCTGAAGATCATATGAATTGAGCAGATCGTGGAAATGTTCAGTACGTGAGTCAGTTGACAAGAGATTGATATTGAGATCACCAGTTAGTATGAATGAATCGCAATTAGGCAAAAGATCAGATATACTATTTTCTAGCTCATTCAGGCACTGAATGAGATTTGCCTGAGGGGGGCGGTAAATTGTACCTAAAATGTACTTTTCACCTTTTATTTTTAACGAGATCCAGAGTTGCTCAAGAAAGTCACTTATCTGAGTAAATAAAATTTCGCATTGATAAGAGTTGTGTATGTAAAATCCTAAGCCCCCACCTCTGCTCATTCTGTCAGCCCTAATGAAGTTATATTGATCGATATTGATCGCATCAGAACAAATTCCAGAGTGCAACCAAGTTTCGGCTAGACATAACATGGCGATATTTTCTTCGATAATATGATTCTTCAGGCAATTGAATCCCGTCATTATTGACCTTATGTTCAGATATACCAGTTTGAGCATTTTAAACCACCTGAAGAGAACTGAAAGCTATAATGATTATATGATGAATTTATAATTAATACTACAATTCGAAATAGTTAAATGAATATAATAAGATTATAATAAGATTAGATTAGTGCTGCTTACGGCGTAAAATCATTGAATGTTTGGAACTGTGTTGTGTGGAGGCTTGCGAAGGTTGAGTGCTAAGCTTGGGGGTAGCACCAGTCAGGGGAGCTGCAGCTATATTATTATTGCTGTTAAGTTCAGATAAAGTAAACACTTCGCCGTCAATCACTAGAGTGTTTCGACGAATTTCCGCAGAGAGGCCCTTGGACTTGGCAGCTTTGAGATGAGTCACCAGTTGTTTCCTATCCTGTCTATCCTCGTAAGGCAGGTTGTCAACAAATGTGAGTATTTTTTAATAAAGCTATGTTAGCGAAAATTTCTGATTTCTTCCAGTTAGATATCAAATCCAATACTAGAGGCTGATTCTTGATACACTGTTATTTATGTAACATGAGTTGATCTCAGATTTAGTTAGATTCACTCTCAAGGTTGTTGAGATGAAGTTCACGACACCGCTAAGGGGTGGCGTCTGGTTGAGCTTTAGCCCGTAGATGAGAAAAGAATTTTTTCGCAGACTCCTTTCAGTAATAAGCAATCGAGTTTTGAGT